GGACCCCCCCCACCCCGCCCCTCACTCCTCTGCTCTTTCTCGGACCCGCGAGGCGTCAGGGAAAAGCTGGAGGGCGGCTACTCAGCCCCTGGCTGGTGCTTTGGCAACAAGTGGGCACACGTCCCTGGGAGCATCCTGAGGGTTAGGGGTGTGGCCCTGGCACGGCAGGGGCCACGCACAGCAGTGGGGGTGGCACGCCTCTGCCGGTGGCCAGGGCGCCAGGACGGTCACCAGGGAAGAGGCCTTCTCTCCCCTTGGGGTGACTGGCTTAGAAAAGGCCGGCTGCCGTGTGACTTGGGGGTGTCCGTGGGCTGGGTTGCGACTCTCTGGCCGACGCGGGTTCCTGAGAGGGGCAGCGCTGCCCACCTCAGTTCGCCTGGGGAAAGCTGCTCCCGCAGGGAGCGGGCAGTTTCCAGAGACCGTCATCTGGACTTAGCTGCCACCCTCCCCAGGCCGCCCGCGGCAGGCACACTCTCCGGGGAGGCCCGTCCCTCGCTCCTTTCCTCTTCCCATGCTGCCTGACCGCGCTGGCGACCACCTGAGTGCCCGCACCACCGCCAGCACACCCCTTTCTCCAAGAGAAATTCAACTGCAGTCAAGGCGCTCTGCTCTCCCCCGTCATGACGGGCCCTGAAAGCTGCCCCCCAACGGGGGCCTGTGGGAGGCAGGCCTCGTCGCTGGTCCCCTCCAGCAGACCAAGGCCACACTGCCCCGAGCCAGCACGCGCGCCAGCACTGAGCGGCCCAAGGGGCAAGGGGCCCTCCTCGGCCCACCAGCCATCACCCTCAGCACTGGTCATACCTGCTTCCTCAGTCCATCGCACTGGTCCGCTTCAGCCCTCTGGCTCACTCGGGGTCCCTTCCTCCTTTCTGCTCATCTGCAGCGGGGCTTTAGTTTCGAGGCCCCACTGTCCCTGGAGTGGGGGCTTTCAGACTGGTGTCCGGCACTACGGGGAAAGAAAGCCCCAGAGTGGCCAAAAGAACATGGTAGCTAAAAGCTGGTGCTGCTTCTTCCCGCTCCTGACTTACCTCTGGAAGATGGTGGCTCACCCAAAATCTCGGGGTGCAAGTTCAGCGCAGCGGGGTCTCAACGGGGTGAGCTGGCTTCCCTGAGGGCATGGGGCAAAGCCTAGAGGTGTTAGTTAGGGTGCCAGGGTGCTGTTGAGCACCCCACCAGCGGGGCGACCCGCACCCCCACCGTCTGGTGCCGCTCTGCTCTGCTCTGCTCTGCTCCTGGTGCCGGGTTTGTCGGCCAAGCCCAGGTCTCCCCGCTGGGCTTCATCTCCAAGCGCCCATGCTCCCAGAAGGGTGACTACCACCACGTGCGGGGCCCTCCATCCTGGCCCCAGGGACAAGCCGGAAGATCCCCCAGTGCCATCTCCCTTCCGACTGCCATGCTGAACCCCCCTCCCCCACCCCTCTAACTTCGGAGTCCCTCAAGCTCCTTTGTGACCCCTCTGCAGCCTCAACGGCCCCTTCTCCCTCCCTAGGCCCTGTGCTCTTATTGCTCCCCCACTGGTCCCCCCTTTCGTAACACGAGGCTAAAGTCCTCACTCGCAGGACTGGAAAAAGCGAAGTCCAACACCCCCATTTCCCACGCAGACTCCCTCAAACCCGCCTGTCGGGGGAGACCGCGGCCCGATCCCACCTGCTCCCTGCGCCTCCGGGACCCTCCCCTCGGCCGCCTCGGCACTCGGGGCGGCCGCGGGCAAGGCCGTTTCTCCTCCGAGCCCGCTGCAGGTCCCGTCTGCCTCTTGTGCCGTCCGCGCAGCCCACGTGCTCGCCTGGCACAGCGCCCAGGTGCCAGGCAGTGCTGGCGACGGCAGCGCCGGCCCTCGAGGCTGCGGCCGCCGGGAACCGCGACCACTCCCCGGTGACCAGCGCTTTGGGAGACCCGACGTGAGGGCTGCGCCTGCAGGTCGTCCCCGCGGGCCCTCGTGGCGTCAGGCCCACCGTCCACTGACCTTCCACTCGGGCCAGGCCCGGCGTCCTCATCCCTCTGGGGCTGCTGCTCGCACGCGGCCATCGGCCCTCGACCTGCACGCCCGGGGCATCTTCTTGCGCCCCGCCTCGCCCCCGAGAGCCCCGCACTCTCCTTCGGCCTTTGCGGCCCCCAGCACCACCGGGAGCGCGCCCGCGGCGCCCGGGCC